GTTGGGTTGACGGTTGGACTCGGTGATCTTAGAGGTCTTTTCCAACCTCAATGATTCTATGATTCTATGATTCTATGGTGAAGATGCAGGTGATGCTGGTCAGGGCCTGTTAGTGGTCACTTAGAGCCCTAACACTGATATCTTCCAGTACTACATACAGTCCCCCTACATTAGGGTGTTTGACTGTACTTGCTAAAAAGTATAAATGTTCTTCAGTTGCTTGGTTGATTTTATTTTGTGAAATCAACTCTGACTGAGCACCAATTGAAATGAATTCAGAAATTCAGTCAGAGTCTGTCTCGTGAATTACAGATTTGCCTTCCTAATATTTAGATGTATATGTGAGTAGCCATGGAAGAGTCAAATTATTCAGCTGTTGGGTGCCTTAAGCTTGAGCAATTTGAGAATTTGACTTTAGGGACCTCAAAAACACTTGATGTTGCACTACACAAAGTGAGACGATGAATGACAGTGATGTGACTGGAGCAAAGACTCCGGAAAAGGGGAGGCCAGGAGGAATCAATGAGTGCTGAACATTAACAAAGAAAAAGGCTAGATTACTATGAGATTTTGTGAGAGTTGTAATTTCATCGCTTGTGTTGTTCACATGAAATCAGATTTAATCAGATCAATTATTTTATGATAAAATTGAGGATTAACTTATTCAGAATGTATACAGGAAAATGGTCTACCAAAGACCAGAAGGCAGCCTTTTTACCTCAGTTATGTCACTACGTGTTAGGATTTAATCATGACTCTTGTGATACTTGAGGTCTTTTTTAGAGACCAATCTCCTGGTCATTTGATTCAGAGCGAGTTTCATTTTAATACAGTAGCTTAGTCTTTCAAAGACATGGGGACTGTATTTCTGTGATTGAGGAAAGAGTCTCTAGTGAGGAACGGATGGGTGAATCTCAGCTCAAAAGCCATCAGTTGGTTGGCCAGATAGTGTGTATGCACCAGTCAGCTAATCAACATGTGACATGGTTGAAACCTAGCAGTGTATTCAGAATTTATTACTGAAGGATTGACAGACCCACAGACAGCATAGCTATATAGACCTTGTTCTCTAATTAAGTTAGATTTAAGCAGAAGACATGCAAGAAAAACAAAAAAAAACAAAACAAAACCAAATACAGTGGTAAATGTCATGGTTTCAGAGACGTGATTCAAGACTTTGTGAGGTTGCCGATACTGTGTGCAAAAGGGAGACCTCATCTAAGTCCTACAACTTCCCGGGATGGAGGATGTCTAATTCCACTCTAATAGGTATTTGTCTTTTGAAATGTCTTTATGCACCTTGTTCAGTTGCTAATAACTATTTTCTTCCAAAACCTGAATTCCCATCCTCATTTTTCTTTCTGATTCTTTTTATCCCTCTGGGGTTTCTTTTGCCCATCTTATCCTTTCTTTATCTGTTTCCATTGAGGTTCTGTTCATACCAGAATTCAACAACCATGGCAAAAAGAGATTTATCAGAGAACCATATCCAGGAGTGGTTCAATTCACCTTTTCAACTGAGTATTCCCAAGTCAAGAGATGTTTAGGAATATAGGACATTCTCAGTTATTTTTGTGTTTCATATTGTTATTTTACTTTTGGAGATTTTTCTCTTATTATTCAGAACTCAGGTAACCATTTTCTACTCAGAATTATTACTACATCGATTTGGAACAAATAAAATTACTTATCACAGTTTTATGCTCGGTCTTACACTCATACTTACTGAGTATAAGGCAGATTTGAGTTGGAGTTGGAGTAAGGGTGGATTCTTTCTCCAAACTTAATGAAATTTGGCTTCAAAGAAGGCTGAAATGTTATGAAGTGGAAAAATCTTTTTTTATCAATCAGTATACTCATTTATATCATGCAATTAATTTGTACTTGCCATGATTCTTGGGTGATAATAATTAGCATGCTATGTTGTTCCAATTATCTGGAATTATTTATATGAAACACTAGAAATGAACTTTGAGTTATCTACCTCAGTGACTGAATTAACTATGTAATTGCTGGAGGATTGAAATAAAAAACCATTCTCTTTTGATGAGACGTTCAGTAACGGGCCTTGAAGTGGGAGTGGGAGGCTCTTCACTGACCAGTGGATCATGTGCATTGTCTTTTATGTCAGAAGAAAACCACATCACCTTGTTTTCCCATTCCAATTACAAAACACAGACCTCCTCTTCCAGTAAGAGCTAGTGGTTTGTACCTTATAAAATATGTTGCCCTCTCTCTCCCTCCACTGTTGCCAATACCAATTTAAGTTACTACACACGATGCCTGCAACAGTTCTCTCTGCTGAGTGAGGAGCGTGTTTCAACCTAACAATGAGGTCATTCAGCTTTCAGAAAAACACACACAGATCAAAGCCCTTTGCAGGACATGAGTAAGTAACAGACAAATTATCTGGGTAATTCAGGAGCAGCTTTCAGAACTGTATCCAAAACAGGATACTTCTATTCTCTGAGTGCTGAACTATTATCCTTGTGAATATGAGTCTCTTCTGCAGTGAAGCTCTAGCTCTGCTAAGTCTGGTAAAACCTGCCAACTTTCTCAGATGCTTGCAACCCAGAGTCTTCTGCAAATCTTTAACTGACTTACTGGTACTCATATTGGCTTCCAAGAGATTGTTTTGGCTGTACTTAAAGCCCCTTTTCAAAATACTTGGTGCCATGGAACTGCGTCTTTGACTAGTTATAATAAAGTTATAATAAATTATATAATATAATATAATATAATATGTTATATATTATAAATCTATAATAAATATAACTGTTATAACAAATTATAAAAGTTATAATAAAACTATTGTAACTGTTTTCAAGCCTTCCCAATTAAGTCATAAACATAAATATACATATGCTGTACTATGCAATAATTAGAACAGTAACAATTCTTGTAAGCATTAAAAATAATTGTAATCTTCATCTAAACTACAATTAATGTGAAAAGCATACAGCCTCTTATTTAATTATCCTGACTAATATACTGGCCAGCAGAACTGGGCTGGTGTAATTTTCCAGCAAATTAAGAGAGTTCCTCTGACTGAATACAGCTTAGAGCAAAGGGGACTTGAGGAAGAAGCTAAACCTTCTGATTTAGCCATTCCATTTGGAGACAACTCAAAGTGAATTGTACCTCTGCACTGACCACTAATTAAAAGCTGAGAACAAACATTCATATTAACAATTGTGGGACACATTTCTACCAGCCAAGCCTCTAAGAAACAGAAAATTAATTATGAACTGCCAATAGAGCTGTCTGGATCAGCATCAATCCTCACCCTCAGACCTACATGGAATGTTTTTCCTTAAGAGCATAATCTAATTATTAATAGGCAAAAAGCTGCATAAATTACCTTCAAAAGTAATCTGGTGGCAAATTATGCAATTAAACAAAATTGTCATGCCAAGATGGTGTAACTAGCCCTGATTAGGAGTAACAGCTCAAACTGACCTCAGGGTTAGTGTAGACAACATGTTTTATGACACATGAGTAGTAGGCGCTTCAGGAAGGCAGATGACAGCATAAGGTTCAAAATTGAAAGGGGAACAGAAGTTTAAGGGGTGCATACTTGCAGTACAGTGAGATGCTGTCGCTCAGAGGACTAAAATAGAAGGACGGATGCTAGGAGCATTATAAAGAGGAGTATCTGCTTTGGCACTGTGTTATTTGACTCATG